CTTTGCTTCCCCAAGATGTGGCACTGGCCTCACTCGGCTGTAAGGTGGTTTGGATTTGGGCCGTCCTTTCCAAACTGGGTCACAATTTATAATCCGTCTCTGGTTCTGGTTTCTGTTAATGGCCTGCCTTCCTTCTCCAGCCTTGGACTAGCAAGAGGAAACTAAACCGGGAAGCCCCTTGCTTCCATCTTGTTTGTGCCCCCACCTGGGGCCACAGGCTATGAAAATGACGGCATACTCACCAGTATTGCCAGACCTTCAGATTCTATTACAAATCTCATGATGACAGGTTTCAGAGTGGTAGCCGTGTTGGTCTGTAACAGCAAAAAGAACAAGGAGTCCTTGTGGCACCTTAGAGACTAACAAATTTATTTGGGCATGCAACCCCCGAGCATGCCCAAATAAATTTGTTAGTCTCTAAGGTGCCACAAGTAAGTTTCATGATGTTTCCAACAGCCCAGCTCCTCGAGACATGAGAGAACCTCAGCTTTCATTTTTGTAATAGTAAGTTTCTAGCCTTCATGGCTGTAGACAAAAGTTTTTGGAAAAAGGGATCCCCCAAGGCTCAAAAACACAGAAAGCAAAGAAAATGACTCCACATCTGCTACTGCTAGAATCTTATGATTTTCAAGCCAATCTGGGGGGGGCTGACTCATTATTTTTGCCTGTGTTTCCCGGTACTCCCCCGTCTGTCTATATCCACCCATTTCTTGTCTGATGGAATGTAAGCTTTCAGGAAGGAACCACCTTTTCATTCTGTGTTTGTACAGCTCTTAGTGGGGTGGGTGTGGCGGGTTGGATCACAGAAACCCCCTTGGGAATTGCCAACTGATGTGCCAAGACTCTGCCCCTGCTTTCCCTGACAGCTTAGGACTCCAGCACCCTGTCTTGTTGAGCCAGACACGCCCGTCTGCTCCAACACAGACCCAGGGTCTAAATTACGTGCCCCAAAGCTGCAGACTTAACTGAAAGCAGCTTACAGAAGTGTTCCTGTCTTTAACGCTCAGATGCCCAACTCCCAATGGGGTCTAAACCCCAAATAAATCCATTTTACCCTGTACAAAGCTTATATAGTGTAAACTCATAAATAGTTTGCCCTCTATAACACCGATAGAGAGATATGCACAGTTGCCCCCCCCCCCCCCCCCCGGGTT